AACGAACGGTGAACGATCGTAGGATTCAATATCGGCCGTCCATCTGACCACTCCCTATTTGCCCCTGATCTCACACCTTGTCATTTACTTTATTGCTTTTACGTTTCCGCACTTTAAATTTCAGTTTTAACAACTCTGTGGTTGAAAAACATTTTTCTACTAACCTTAAAAGAAAATTTTATTTCGGTTCAACTTTAACATTAAGAGGGTTTAAAATTTTTAAAACTACCAATTCACCCCCCCTCTTGGTAGCCTTGGGACATTTACTTAGGCTTAACAACCTAATTACTGGACTCAACAGTTCTGATTAAAGAAAAATAGTCAAATTCAACAAAATTTCAATAAAGTCATGTAGTTAATATTATAAATTTTTAAGTGTTGATGCAGGTCGATTTAATAAATTTTAACATTTCTTCTTAGAAAATAATATAAGATTTTTTAAAAGTGGTGATCATATAAAATATAATTTTATTTGTTATAAATTGAAGTTATTGACAAGAAGAGAAAATTACCCAACCTTTTAACCATTGTTTTATGTGAAAATTAATATCATATCTATTTTGCAAAATGGCAATGATCAATAAATTATTAATGTTGCATTGTGGACAATCGAGCATTGTTAAGATTTGAAAAAAAAATGGAGATCTCATTAATTTATTTAGAGTACTCGCTTTAAATTCTCATTAGGGGTTCTCAAAAGATATGCTACTTTTTGGGAGATCTCATTAATTAATCTAGGGTATTTGCTTCCTCATTAGAGGTTCTCACCAAATCTAACTTTTTTAGTTCTTGACAAGATAACCCACTCAAGGTTCTTGTGAGGAGAGTATGCTTTTGGTTACTTACCCTCTTCAAAGAACTCATCCTTTCTAGATAAATCTTTGAAGCAAAGATTTTACTTAAGCTTCTCTCTCCAAAATGCATATAATCCTAAATTGATGCCCCATTCTCTTTTTAAGGGGTTAATCAAATCTTCTATAATTCTTAATCAATGAAAGAGAATCACTGCTAAGTAATTTATAGCTTATTTTTTCTTTATAACCTTTTTAGGCTTGACCCAAAATTATGCTAAAGTCTTGGTGCCACCACTTCATGAATAATTTTGGATCCCACATCATAAATGTGAGGTGAACTAGGAATGAAGCCTAAGACAAGAAACTAAATAATGGAGTTTCATAAAAAAGGTCTATATTGAGCAAAACATTACCAATAATGTCATTACCTATAAGAAATTAAACTAAATGAAACATTATCAAACAAAGATGATTAAGAAAAAAAAACACCTTTAATAAGATGTTCTTATTCACTTTCCATAAAAACATGATTTAGTTGGCACAATGACCAATTGGTTGTGATAGTTCCAAAATTGTTGCACCATTTCACATGGATAATGATATCTCTCTCTGAAGATAACATTATATGATCTTCTCTTATTACTGCTTATTAAAATGAAAGGAGTGATCTGCCAACACTTTTTTAGTAGAACTTGTTAAGGCTCAACCTCCCCTCAAGTTCCAAAATGCAGTTACTAGAATCTTATTATGAAAAATAGTTCAATGCGACTCCATCATTGACTTCAAAATAACCATTTCTCTCCTCATATCACTATTATGATAATAACTACTCTTCATCGCTTTAAAGGAGGCATTAACATCACTTTAAATTAATTATTGCATCTAGAATTTATATTTATTTAATGTATTAATATTATTCTTATTATTATAATAGAAAATTAGGGATAGAGCCCATTCATTAACAAATAATAACTATTATAAGAAAGAAAAGATTATAGTATAAAAAGAAAAACACAAGAAGAGCTTTCTCAAATACACGAAAAGCTCCAAAATTCCCTAACTAACCAGGGAAGGGGTTAAAAGGATAAAAAATATATAACATAGAAAAAAAATAAAATGGAAATGCCACAATTGCACAAAAATGAAGGTCTGGACTCAAACTTAAAGTGTATACATTTAGAACAAACAAAATCATAGCAGCAGAGGTTCCCCTGGTTGCCCAAGGATCTTCCAAGGGGAAGGGTTAATTGGCAATATATCATTATCATCCAAGGCTAAAAAATTTCACAAATCCCACTAGACCAAATAGTATAAATGAAAAGACAATAGAGCATCATCATAAATGAAGCAAAAAAAAAAAAAAAAAAAAAAAAAGGATGCCAACAAACCGACACCATAATCTCCCCCAATAGAGCAATCAAACCTAGAGAAATTCACAAATTTTTCTTAAGTTCCGTCAAATGATTCATATTTTTCCATATAGATAACTTTAGCCTGATAGCTTTTCTAATTTTAAAACATAAAGTCACAGCTAGCAGAGGAGCCAAATTTCCAGTCATTTCTCTATCGACAAATATGATAAATAGAGCAAGTAATAATAAGTAGGTAAAGATTTTTTAACATCATCCATCGAACATGTCATACCCCTAATAAAATAAAAAACTTGGGTAATATTTGGTCTCAATAAGAAGTTATGAAGCTTAGGGATCAAATCAACCAAAACTGAGTAGGAATAATCACATTCAAAAAGTAGGTGGGAGGAACTTTCGGGGCAATTATAACAAAGAGAGCATCTATTATCCACCTGAATATTCCTTCTTACTAAAACATCAGATATTCAATCTCCCTCGAATAGCCAACCAATCAAAAGTTGAATATCTCAAGGCATTTGTTTATGACAAACATAAATTTGTCAATCATATTTAATATCATCCTTGAAATATTCTAAATAATAATCTTTAAGTGAGTCACAAGAAGAATTATTCCAAAAAAAGACACCTTGAATCGGGTTCATGAATGGATATAAAGTAAATGAACTTTCTGAATAGAGAACTAAATGTGTTAGGTAAGTCACAACTATTTTCAGAAATCACGAGAGATAGATGAGCACTATTGGGTTATAAGTTTAAGATAGATTGATCTAAATTAAGATAAAAAATATAACAACCCTTACACTAGTGGTTCCGACATAAAGAAATTGAAATTTCATAGTTAACTTGAAAAAATAACTTATATTTAACCTTTGTATCAGTGCAATAAAGGTTTTTCCAGAAAACAGAGGATTTGGTGTTGGGAGGCTTCCAGGGAGATGTGTATCCAGCTGATAACCACATAGTGAGAGGGAAGGATTCATTCTAAAACCTACTAATAAGGGAGCAATTATATGCAAACATGAGAGCTTGGAGTGCAGGTATCCCCAAACCTCCCATGCTTTTAGGTTTACAAGTATTAACCTAGGATAGAAGATGCAATTTCTTAGCTTGAATATCTCTTGAATGCAGAAATTTGGCACACATTTTTCTTATGATATTGCAAGTAAACTTAGGTATAATAAATCCATGTATCCATTATCCAATAGTATCACATATTGTCTACGTTATGAACTGCAACCTACATACAAAAGAAAGAAGTAAAGCTTTCTAGCCAAACATATGATTAGTAATTTTCTCCAGAAAAAGAGAGAAATTAGAGAGTCTAGCTCTCTTGGGAGAGATGTGAAGTCCAAGATAAGTGAATCTGGGGCAAGAGTTGTGTATTTTAGGAGTTCACAAATTCCATTAGATAATGGAATATTTAGGGAAATAATCAGAGAGCTTTTATCTGGGTTGGCATGCAAACTAGATGAGTTAGCAAAAATATTTAGGATTTCAATGTGAGTGTTGCAATTTTGGATGTTTACTTTAGAAAATATCAAAATATTATCTACGTATAGCATGTAAGAGATGTTGAAGACATCCATGCTAAACCCTTCAAAGCCAACGGTAGGATCAACCTCATCAATAAGATAGAAAAATACATGCATGATAATACAAAAGAGATAGAATCAATGGCCATCCTTGTCCAAGGCTTTAAAAAGAAGAGAAGAATCATTCTAAAGCCCCATCAATACATATAAAAAAATTAACATATGATATGCAAGGTTTATACAAACTAATAAAAGGAGAGAAGTCTTTCTGAGCCAATCTAGAGAGAGAATCCCCTAGAAATAATATCAAATGTTTTTTTTATGTCAAATTTTGCACATAGGAATTTCTGCTTAACATTTTTCTTGAAAAGGCGCAAAATTTTAGATACCAAAATGATATTATCAGGGAATAAGCGGTGCTTAATGAAACTAGCTTGACTATAATGGAAAATGAAGGGCAAATGGGCTTGAGCCTAGAGGCAAGGATTTTAGCAATAACCTTATAAAAAGTATTACATAAGGAGATATGTATGAAGTCAAAGAGGTTATTAACATAATATTTTTTGGGAATTAAAGCTAAAGCAATAGCTTTAACATATCTAAGGAGATAGCTTCAAGAAAAAAATGACTTAACAACTTTGTATACACAGGGTCTCACTATTTCCCAACCTTTTTTTTTTTTGAAAAAGTCAAAGTTAAAATCATCTAGTATAAGAATAGATGAAGATGAACTAGAGAAAATAGCTAACTTGATTTCGTCGTCTGACACATGCCCATTCAAGAAAGCTATAAGATGCTGTGAATGATCTTTCCACAAGGGGAATATATGAAGTTTGAGTATGGGGGACAAGGGGAGTTGTATAAACCTTTAGTATGTTGGAGGATAACATCCTTAATAACATGCTACCCAGGCGAAGAACCAGCCAAAGCAACAATAATAGATTTCCTATTATAACAGTCCTTTCCACAGATTTTAGAATACAAAATGTTTAAATCTTCTCCTCCATTCAAGAACCATTTGACTTTAAATTTTTAGATTGTCCAAGAGTTGCAAGGAGAAGCACCTTCAACAACCTTGGAGTTAATTTGCTTGAGATTAGTACATAAGGCAGGATCCAAATTCAGTTCAACTTGAGTTGTTGGGAATGTAGATCAGCATATCTAACTGCAATAGAATTGCTATTATTATAATAGATAAATTGATTTATTTTATTCACTGTCGGTCACAATTTTACTAGGAAAAATGACTCGGGTTCATTCATGTAAAAAAATATATATTCAATAAAAAATAGTCTTCGAGGCGAATCTTCCACTTCGCAAAAGCGCACCACCCATTTCTTCTCCCGCCTATAAATTCTTCCTCACGGAGCAAGATTTTTCTCCGCGTTTTACGCCAATTTTCTGAACTCTGTGTTTCCGCTTGATTCTCCCACGCAAACGTCTTCGAATTTTCCCTTACAGCTAAAAATTAAAACCATATATTGCTTTTCGATCCTTCTTGTCATGAATGCAACGAGCTCGATGCGCATCGCGACCATGAGGCCCTGCTTCCGGTTCCTCTTCAGGTCCGGCCAGGCCGCCGCCATTGCCTTCCCAAAATACCCCTTTCTGTTCCCAAAATGCCCTCATACCGACCTGATTTCTTCCGCCTCTGCCTCGCGGCGGAGAGAAGCCGCGCTGGTGAGGGCGGTGGCCGGTGCACGGCCTATGGGGACGTCGGCGGAGCCGATCATCGGCGGGGAGAAGGCTTTCGATCGGATCTATGAGCAGGGGCTCGCGGGAAAGCCGATCGTGATCGAGAGGGTGGAACCCGGGCCAGCGCCGGAGGTGGAGAAGAAGGAGGAGCTGGCTAGTGGGAGGCATGAGACGGAGGAGGAGAAGGAAGCGTGGAGATTGTTGAAGAAGTCGGTGGTGACGTATTGCGGGACTCCGGTGGGAACGGTGGCGGCCGACGATCCGGTGAATGGAGGGCAGATGCTTAATTACGATCAGGTTTTTATTAGGGATTTCGTGCCCTCAGCGCTGGCTTTTCTACTCAAGGGGGAGACGGAGATTGTCAGGAATTTTCTGCTTCACACGTTGCAATTGCAGGTAAATTTTGCGGAAAGGGGGATCTATTCTGCATTGTAAAGGAAGTGTGATGGATTAAATTGATTATTATTATGGTTAGGAGTATATAATTGGCACTAATTTAGTGGGGATTTGTTGATTCTAGTCTGACAGCTGGGTTATTATTACAAGTTTGTTGTGAAATTAATAAGATATTCCCTTTTGAAATTTGAATTGCATGCCTTCGATCTTAAATGAGCCCTCTCCTTGAAATATAAGATTTTATTTTGGGAAATTAAGAAAAAAATGTTTTATGATTCTAAAAAAACTTATCTGTGCATGTTTTTTTTTGGGATGAATTATCAGTACATGCTAATTTGCGATTGGATTTAGGATATTTGGTGTTATACATGATGTTCGATGGGCACAGATGTACTTTGCCTAAAATACCCTTAAACTGTTTTAACTTTTAAGGTTATTTCTTCATTTTTAATTCTCTGAATTCACTGAATGAAATTAATCTCATTTAACAACTGTTATTTACAATTTACTGATAGAAAAAACATTATCTTGTCTTTTTGTGCATTGAAATTCTCTTGATGTTGTTGCTATAATCTTAAAATTTTTCATTCCGAATTTGTGAAACATTATTTGATTCCTTGTGAATTAGCTAATGCTTGGAACTAATGTCCTTTACTATTTTGGTACTGTGTTAAAGTTTTGAAGAAGCGTTAACATCTGTAAATATTTTAGAATGACATTTGATGGAAAGATTTGATTGCAAACTGAACAAGAGTTTAAACAGTTTTTTTTTTCTTGTCCACATTTTATATATAATATTCTAGTTTTCTAAATTCTATTGAATTTTACTAGCTTTGAAGGTATGGTGAGCTTGAGTTTCTCACAGTCTCTTTCTATATTTTTTAACATTTAGAGCTGGGAAAAGACTGTTGACTGCTACAGCCCAGGGCAAGGATTGATGCCCGCCAGTTTTAAGGTTCGAACCCTGCCTTTGAGTGATGACAAGGAAGCATACGAGGAGGTTCTTGATCCTGATTTTGGTGAGTCGGCCATTGGACGTGTAGCCCCGGTTGATTCTGGTTAGCCTTTTGACTTGCTGAAAAATTTTCCTCCATTTCATATGATCAAAAGTGAACTAAATTCCTTGAAGATGAAAATGGATTAATCCTCCAGCTTTTCTCATAGGATTGTGGTGGATCATTTTGCTGAGAGCTTATGGAAAAATCTCTGGAGACTATGCGTTGCAGGAACGTGTTGATGTGCAAACAGGGATCAGACTCATCTTGAATTTATGTTTAACAGATGGCTTTGACATGTTTCCAACTCTCCTGGTAACTGATGGCTCTTGCATGATAGATAGAAGAATGGGCATCCATGGCCATCCTCTTGAAATCCAAGTTAGTAGAATTCATTTAGATTTCTTATTTTGCAAAATACGCATGTTTTAAATCTTAGGATTTGATCTAGGGTTGCAGTTCCTGATGATATTTTATGCAAGCACTTGTAGAATAGCTAAATAGCATCTGCAAGACAAGTGCTTGACCACAATAGTATAGTTGATTTAGATAGAACTCTATTCTAAATTAATTGAATAGTCAATCTCATTGTCACATTAAGATTTCAATTTACATGCCAACTAGTCCATGATAAATAAATAAATAGGATATGCTCATTTTTATCTTCATTTTTGTATCAACAAATGGCTCTTAGAGGTGCACTTTTGGGCTGATAAGCTTGTTGAATTTTTTGCTTCAGTCTTTGTTCTACTCAGCTTTACGGTGCTCCCGTGAAATGATCACTCCTAATGAAGGGTCAAAGAAACTAATTCATGCCATCAATAATCGGCTCAGTGCATTATCATTTCACATCAGAGAGTATTATTGGGTGGACATGAAGAAGATTAATGAGATTTATCGATATAAGACAGAAGAGTACTCATATGACGCTGCAAACAAGTTCAATATATATCCTGAACAGATTCCTTCATGGCTAGTGAATTGGATTCCTGATAAAGGAGGCTATCTTATTGGAAACGTGCAGCCTGCTCATATGGATTTCAGGTTCTTTTTGCTTGGAAATCTCTGGGCCATATCTTCATCTTTAACCACACCTTGGCAAGCTGAGGGCATCCTCAATCTTATAGAGGACAAATGGGATGATCTTGTGGGAAATATGCCTCTAAAGATATGTTACCCTGGACTAGAGAATGACGAATGGCGCATAATCACCGGAAGTGATCCAAAGAACACGTAAGTTTTAGTATGTATAAACTATTGTCTTATTTTATAAAATGGATAATTTTAATTAGTAATTATTTCAAAATTTTATTAATCATTTAAGAAAAATTCCTATACTCTTCCTTTGCATGTTTTGGGCTTAATTTAGTATTGATGCATTTCATGTAGCATAACTACCACATCTATTTCTAGATGGGCATCCCAATTTCCTTATACATCATAATCCATGTAGGTTGCAACTTGCTGTTTACTTGAGTTGTTTGTCCTCTGAAAACTTTTTCCAATTGAATTATTGCAACTTTTTCTTTATAACTTTGAGCATGAATTCAATTTTTTTTTATTTTTAGTTTATTTTATAATATATTTGTACCCTCTTATCTTGTTCATTACTTATTGATGTTTCACTCATTGGTGTAGCAAATCACTATTTGTCCTCTATCATGCCCTGCATTAGATATAGCAAAGATGAATACATCAATTAGTTTCTTCCATATACTTTTCTATGCTTTATTGCTTCTAATGTGTATAATCATTCTTCGTGGTATTCGAGCATTAGTAACCTCCCTTGTCACTTGAATCTCTGGCCGTTTGTACCCATCTCACAACCTATGTCTAAAATCACTTATTGGCAACCTCTACTAAACCTACTTTCGGCTCCAAAGACAAAGCATCACTTAAAATGGAAGATATCCTTATTCCCACATTAAAATTTATGATGTCCTCACGATCGAAAACCTTTTAGTGTGGAGATCACACATCCTTAGAATATTCCAAACCAATGGCTTTGAAGGCTATCTTGATTTCTCTAGCCATCATCTCAACCCGCATAATAACATTGATCAAAACTTAGCAACAATGCTATATTTCATAATATCAGCACCCCCTCCTACTCTATTTTCTTACTCTAGATTCATGCACAAAAATTTAGACTATAGTATATCAACAAATGCATTGCACCAATAGCTCTTGTATTATTTAACTGAAAAACATCTACATGAAGTATCAAACCATAACCCATTATCTATCTACAATCAACAAATGGATTTTACTGGGCACTACTAATAAAATACAAATTAGAAATAACATCTAAAGTCACTCAAAAATAGCTGAATGAAATTTCAACACAGGTAATGCTCACTCTAACGAAAACAGATCCTCAACTTGCTCCATGCCACCTAGCCTGAACCCGATCCAATCATTATTTAAAATACGATTGTTAAATCATATTATATTTTAATCTGTAACTTTGAATTTCTTTCAATAATTTTATATAAGAGCGATTGCATGATGGGTATTTGCTGGGTTTATATGAAACATAAGCTCTGTCGCTGGGAACAGAAGCTTCTTAGAAAAAAATGTTTTTCATTAAGGTAATTAAAAGATAATTTCTAAATTTAAAAAATATGGATGCATCTAATATTTGAAATGTAAAACGAGGGAACCATTCATTTTATAAAGCTCTAATTGCTAAAATTTAAGTAGGGATGCGAGAGAGCATCTTAGTGGAGCTCCAAAAGATGCATTATTGGTTTCCGGAAAACTCTTCAGGGCTCAATTTCTTTCAGCATAATAGAGTATGCCATTGCCCAATTCTATAAAGCTATAATTGCTAAATTTTAATTAGGGATGCAAGAGAGTATTTTAGTAAAGCTCCAGTGATGAATAATTGGTTTCTGGAAACCTCCTCAGGTCTCTAGTTCTTTCAGCGTAATAGACTATGCCATTGCCCAATAATACTTTTAGACCACTGCTAATTGGAATTTCCTTAGTTGATATGAAAACTGTAGTAAAAATTATAGACTTAGCTCTCTGATCCAGTTTAGTTTGAGGAGCACTTGATGTGTGTAGTGGAACTACTGCTGCTGAACTATGTTTCACAAAGTTTTTGAAAAGGTGTGCACTCTTAATAATGGTGCTGCATGATCTTGGACAATGCTCTTGCCCACTGCTCCTTTAGCCAATTGAAGGCTTTAATACATGTTTTTGATATGCTTTTCTCATTTAGTAAGTAATTGAAACTATTTTCTTTGCAGTCCTTGGTCATACCATAATGGGGGATCTTGGCCTACTCTTTTGTGGCAGGTATATTTTTTTCTGTTTTTTCTCCCTTGACTTTTTTTTTTCCCTCTCTCTTATATCCCCTCACCTCACCTCTCTCTTTAAAGTTTTCAAACTTTCTTTTCTGTTGCTCTTTCCACATTTAGGTTTCGTTTGGAATAGCTTTCTTACTGTTTCTTAAAGCAGCTTTCTAGTAGAACAAATAAAATTTTTATACAAAAAAGATGTTTTAAGAAGCACTAAAAAAGCCATCCCAAACGAAGCCTTAAATTGACCTGCTTTCAGAGGGGCAGGCCTTAGTTAGCCTGACCGCCACCTCTCTCTCTCTCTCTCTTTCTCTCTCTCTCTCTCTCTCGTGTTCTTTTTTTTCTCATTACAGGCCTTAGTTCTCATTTCAATGTTCAAAAGCTAACGAGATTGACATAACTTCCCCTGAACTTTTCTTCAGTTCACCTTGGCTTGCATTAAGATGGGAAGGCCTGAGTTAGCCCAAAAAGCCGTCGCAGTTGCAGAGAAGAGACTTTCAAAGGACAAATGGCCCGAGTACTACGACACCAGAACTGGCAGGTTCATTGGAAAGCAGTCACGGCTGTTCCAAACATGGACTATCGCTGGTTACTTGACCTCAAAAATGCTTTTGGAAAGGCCAGAATTGTGCTCCATCCTCACCTGTGAAGAAGACCTTGAACTTCTCGAGGGCTGTTCCTGTAGCCTAAAGAAGAACGCAAGAACCAGGTGCTCTCGCCCTGCTGCTAAATCTCAGATTCTAATCTAACTGCAATTAAGAACTCATCATACTTCAATTCATATACTTGTATATAAGAAATAATTATGTGAAGGAATCAGAAAAATAAGAAGAATGGAAAACTTTGCTGCATGGAAGTGAAGTTTGATTCATTCGTCCACTCGATACAAAGCTGCAAGCTCATTATTTTAGTTGAGCTGCGACTTGGTGGGTTTCCAATTGGGTGGTTGGTTCTTATTAGAAATTTTTTATTCTTATTTTATTAGAGTTCTTTAGATGTTTGTGAAGTACATATGTGGGAAGGAAATCATGTATAACAACAAAATTCTTGCTTCTATTCTCTAGAACTGAGGATAGAACTTTATCTCCTTGTATACTGTAATTGCCTTTATGGAATCAAGAATCCCTTAATTCCAGAATTCTGAAAATTGTTATATTTACTGCTTTATCTGATTTAGAATTTTAGCCTATTTTAATTGTAAAGAGAGAGAGAACAGCTTTTTTTTCCTCATCTTTCTGTAATTCTTTGAGCGGGTGGATCCCATTGGTGTCCCATTGAATCCGGCTGTTAGAGCAAGATAGCTTTTAGGTCGCCCGTGTGAAACAGAGGCGGAAATCTTCCGCCTTTACTGGAGGCCGATCCGACCACAGGAGCTAACGGAGCATCTTTGAAAGATTTTTTGAGGAAGAAGTTTAGGAGAGAAATTGAATGGAGGGACTTTAGAGATTTTCTTTTGAATTAGGGTTAGGGCATCTGGAATTTGGCTGAAATTTGAGATATCTTAAGTTTAGGTTTCCTTTGGGCTATAGCGGCGTCTAGAGAATTTGAGAGAGATCGATCCTCCTCTCGAATTGAGGATCAATTGTATCTTGCTATTTTCCGTTTCTATTTCATCAATTAATACAAATTATCTACTAAGACTTCATTTGGAACAGTTTTTTTGTTGTTTCTTAAAGCAACTTTTTAGTAAAAATTTTTAATTTTTATGTTAATTTGGTCCACATAAAAAAGAAATTAATACAATTTATGATTTCTTTTCTTGAAATTGTAAACCCTAATCTATATTGAACTATTTCATTGCATACAAGTAAAGACTCGGATTTTGATGATAGAAAAGATTTGTGAGGCTGCTGCATTCAAAAAAGATTTTTTCTATTATGTTATAGGCCAATTATTGGTTTTGATGTGAAAATTTTAGGAAGTTATGAGTGCAACACTATGCCTGTAATTAGCTCAGAAGAATTATTGACATTCAAACGGAGAGTCGATCATAATTTGAATCAATGTTGTAATCATTCACACTAGGAAGGAAAGACAATTCAATGAATACTTGTGATAAAATATTCATCTATCACACACTAAGGCTTCATTTGGGACGGTTTTTTTATTGCTTCTTAAAAGAACTTTATAGTACAAATTAAAATATTTTGTACTAAAAAGCTTCTTTAAGAAGCAATAAGAAAGTAGTCCCAAACGAAGCGTAAGTCTTTGTTTGTGACAACTTTTTTGTTGTTTTATAAAGCAACTTTTCAGTACACAAATTTATTTCCCAAAAAATTTTTGTACAAAAAATTTGTTTTAGAAAACAGTAAGAAAGTTGTCCCAAATAAAGCTTATGTTTTGTTTTGAATGCTTTGAAAGGCATTGTATTGTTGTTTTATTTTTTGATTTCATTTTTTTGTAATGACAAAAAAAGAAGGGGATCAAAGATTAGCATAAATATCATATTTTATAATGATAAAGCTTCTTCGTGTAATTGTTTAATAGTATATTTTTAATGAATTGAATGGTTTTTTATTTTTGCAATGAACTGTTAAAATTTATGAACATTCTAATTGGTTGCTTAAGCTTTCAAGGCTTTCAAAAGCTGTTTTAGGTTTAGTTTTGGACAGCTTTCTTACTATTCTCTAAAGCAATTTTTCGGTATATGAATTTCTTAAATTAAAAATTTTTATACTAAAATGCTACTTTATAAAGCAATAAAGAAACTATTTCAAATGAAGCCTTAGTCCCTTCTTGTCATATATCATCCTCGAATTTCGTAAAGATTTTGTTGCTAGGACTAGTAAGACAATTGGACGAAGCCAATTAATTCTATTCATGCCACTTTTGATTAAGATTTCATATGGGACAGTTTTCTTACGATTTTATAAAATAGTTTTTAATAAATTTTTTTAAATTAAAAAAATTTTAATAATAGGAAATTGTTTTAAAAAGCAATAAGAAAGCTGTACCAATGTAGCCTAATCTGAAAGGAGCAATCTAATTTGAGATGTTTTGGGCTTTTTATTTGAATGTATTGAGGCATTTCAAAATTTTGTCTTGCTAAAACTTATATTGATCAAATAAGATCCTTTACAATATTAATAATATCCTCTTTGAATTTATTATCAGACAAAAAATTATAGTGATAATTATTCTGACTGTATATATATATATATATATATATATATATGTGTGTGTGTGTGTGTGCGCGCGCGTGCGTGTGTGTGTGTTGGTAGTATTATAATAGGTTCTACAAGTTTTATCAAAGGATATGTCTTGGTTTGTGATATAGGACGCCTGGGTGGTATTTTTGATGTTCCTATAATGGGTATAGGGTGGATAATTATCCATGGGTTGGAACTGATAAATATTTTTAAGGTGAGAGTTGATAGAAAGGAGATCAAAAGAAGTCCAACCCCATATTTTTACTAAGAGTTATTCTAGTCGAGATGGTGATATGTTTATTGGGAGATAGTAGACAGTTAATAAGAAAATGTCTAGTACATATGTTGCTCCAATTCTAATTTAGGTTAGGGTTTATAATTTGGCTCAGCATGAGGCGTAGATTACATATTTTGTGCTGAAATGTATAGCTTATATTTTTACTATTTCATGTTGTATTTCAATTGATCATGGGGTTAGCCATTCATTCATACTTGAAAAGTACATAACTCTATTGAACTTATCCTTTTTTACTACGATTTACTTTATATATTATTTTTCCTACTGGTAATACACGGTAGCCATCGATATTTATGTGTGTGAGATAGAGTTCTTTTATAAAAAATGAAAATTTGGTTACTTCTCCCTATGTTCGATGTTACTTTGGGTATGAATTGGTTGAGTTGTATAGAGCTCAAATAGATTATTTGAAAAAGAGGGTAACTTTTTTAACAACATGATTTTTAAAAATAAATTTAAAATGAAAAATATAAATTTTCATTTGAACTAGGGCGTTACGGTGTTGATCTTGTGTTGCTAGGTGTATAAATATATATATATATATATATATATATATATATATATATAGAAATATCAAGAAAGCATGGTTGGAGCATATCGATTACCAATGATGAATATCTTAAATGCCACCAGAGACTGCCTGACACGTCCCAAGATCTAATTGAAAGAATTATTCTTTTTTCTTAAACATTAACATAACAAAGCCATCTAAAATCATCGAATAATAGTAAACATAAATACTATTTAATTCATTCAAATCATCAAAATAAGAATGTACAACAATCGAGGTACAATTCTATAATAATCCACAAAATATAAAAAATATTTTAAAAATGAAAATTTAAATTATTGTTTGAATTGGAACACTTCAGCATTGTGCTTGGTAACCCAAAATTTTTTGCCGCAGAATTAGAGGCTTTGTATTATAGTAATTCGAGATTCAACATGCAAAGTTGTGACACTAGATTGGAGCACTACAGTGCTAAGCAAATAATAATATTTTTATATATTTAATTCTAAAATCCTAACTCCTAAGCACTAAATCACCTAAGCCGCTTTACCCTCCCTTTTTGTGTGGCTTGCCATAGAAGAAGAGAGGGAAAGGGAGAGAAGAGGAGAGAGAGGGAAGAGAGAGAAAGTTAGACTTTGATCATTTTTTTGTGCTGCTTTAGTTAGAAAAAGTATTCTGATCATTGTAAATAACCAAAATCCCACTATGGTTTTCAATAATTTTAAGTTTGATGAATTTAAACCCTTCAAAATCTATAAAATATATTTTCTCCTAATTTATTGTACTTTTACAGTGTAATTTTTTATATATGATATATATGGATTTTATAGACATTTTTACTGTAACATTATTGAATTTCACAGTATAAAATGGGATTTATGATTTTTTCAAGCTATAAATTAATATACATATTTTCTTATATTTTATAGATTTAAGTATTTCATGTTGCATGTCATAAATTTAAGAGTGATTGATATAATCGATATATGATAAATATGATATTTACATGTAAGCAAGAAATGTTATCTATTAACACTAAAATTAGTATGTGTTGACTGTTAAAGCATAATATCCTGGTTAAGGGGGTTGAACCGACAAGCTTTTCTTTTTAGATGGTTTGCAGTGTTATCCAAGTTGTACTCATCTTTAATGACTCTTAATGATTTTTTGAAAGCCACCTTTAATGATATAATGATAAAGATACTGTGATGATAATGATAATGATGGATACATATGAAAGAATGAAACATCACATTAAAGTTAGATATTATGCATTGCTGAACCATATACTAATGCATACATATATGAATAATATTGATAGATAGATTAAAAAATGAGTGTGCATATATAACATTTGACATGTACTAATTTTATATAATATATAATTAATAAGATAGATAAGACTGATGACATTGACACCTACATATGCATGATATACAATATCGATTTATTGATTACTGATTATTAATTACCGATGTATTTACATCATCACACTTTTTGTTGATTTATAAATTTAAGCGTAATGCTTTTTTAATTTCATTATTGATCATATTGAATCATACCAAGATGACTGATCATTGATGATATTAAACTCTATTAATTCTATTGATTGGTTGAATATGTATATTGTTTTCTTAACTCTTGAATTAAAAAATTTAATGAGTTTTGGGCTTGTTCTGAGCTTTGTAAGCTCATTATATGATTTTATTGATTTCAGGTTAAGGAAGAGGTCACGGCTCTATGGAGTAAGGTGGATTGAGATCTTGAGGTTCTTTTTTTATTTTGTATTTTTGTTTTATTCTTTTATAGTTAGAAGTTATTGATGGATTATTGATTGTTATTAATCTCTTGGCCATTGTAATGTGATTTTTGTGAATCAATATAGTGAAATATTTCAATGTATACGATATTTATTTGCTTTTACTAGGTATATTTATTTATATTGATGATTTATAGAAGTTATGGTAGTTTAAAAGTTAAATTAGACAATTCTTCCAACTTAGATCTTGAGGCATGACAAATTCTTTTCTCAAGAAACTCAATATGTATAAAATCACAAGATTTCTATAAGAATTTACTTATATAGAAACACATCTATAGTCTGTTTCGCAACCCTTATTAATTTATCCTATTTGAATCGTGATTTATTCTTTCCTGAAATGACATGAAGGTACATAGGTGAGCATCGA